TGCAGCAGGCCGGAAGAATTGCAGCAGGTCGGAGGATTTGCAGCAGGCCATGCGAGGAGAAGGAAGCCATGTGAGGAGAAGGAAGCCATGCGGGAGGAGAAATATTAGGGTATATAAATAACTTTAAGCAACTTAGCCTTTCTTGCTGAAAGTCTACCCTCTATTAGTAACATATATCATGTTGGTAAAACTCATTTGAATTTAAATTCCTTTACTCATCATCGACATGTACTATGTTGCTAAAATTTAAAATAAAAAAACTCCCGTCACACTATCAAATGATTAAATTTTAAATGATTAAAATTTTTAGCAACATAGTTCTTGTTGCTGAAATTCACTTTCAACAATAAGAGACATGTTGCTAAAAATGAAACCCTTATTTGAGGGGGAAAATGCGGTGTAGGGCTACCGAAAAATATCAGCAATATAGGGTTTGTTCTTGATATTTACTTTCAGCAATAAAAGACATATTGCTAAAAATGGAACCCTTATTTGGGGGGGAAAATACGGTGTAGGGCTATCGGAAAATATCAGCAACATAGGGTTTGTTGCTGATATTTACTTTCAGCAACATACCTCTTGCTGAAAGTGGAGCAACTTTTGGAGGGAAGAAATATACTACATAGCTTTTAGCAACTAAAACCTTGTTGGTGATACAATTTTTCAGCAACAAAAGATCCCATGTTACTGATATTTGTTGCTAAAAATCAAAATTTTAGTAGTGGTTTTCAATACTAAGAAAACTTAAATATCCTTAATGAATTAACAAACAATAAAGATTTGTTAAGCGTGTGAACAATTTCATGAAAAAACCTATAATTTTAAATGTAAGGAAGTCGTAATTTTTATATTCTTTCTAATTATTTATTTTAAAAAATATAGATAAACATATACATTTTAAAAAATGACAACTATTTTAGAAGGAGTATTTCCTATAACAAATTTAAGCTTTAGGGAAAAATATTTACATATAAGTGATGAGAGTTGTGACATTTTTAACTTTTAATGTAAATAGGTCTTAATTTTTTACTCTTTTTTTTTTCTAAAAGAAAGATAGTTTTCGAGTTTTTTTCTTTTTGATGATTGGTTGCACAACAAGAAGCAATCATCTTTCATCATTTATTCTATCATATCTACATGCCATGAGACTCAGATCTCTTATATGCGACTTGAATTCAGTACTTTTTACATTTGATTTGAACTGAATTCA